CTTCCACAGTGGTTGCACCATTTTACACTCCCACCAACAGTGAATAAGGGTTCCAGTTTCTCCACAACCTCACCAGCATTTCTTGCTTGCTGTTCTGTTAAATTTTGCTATTCTTACTGGGGTGAGATAATATCTCATAGTTGTTTTTCTAATTTCTTTATGACCCTGTGATCTTCCACTATAATTTGAAAAGAATCTAGTTTGGAAGCTTTCAAATATTTATATAGGTGTTGGGCTAACAAGGAAAAAATATTGATCTAAGTTCTATAGTAGCCACAAAGTCCTAAGAACCCTAATGGTTTCTTAGTCTTAGGGGTGTTGTTGTTGTTAAGTGCCATTGAGTCAACTACTATTCATAACAACTCTGTGAACAACAGATGTGAAATGTCCTATCCTGCACCAGCCTCACCTCTGTAGTGCTCAAGCCTGTTGTCACATTCCCTGTGTCAATCATCTTCTTGAAAGTCTTCTCTTTTGCTGAGCTTCCACCTTTTCCAGTGTGGTGGCTTTTTTTCCAAGGACTGGCCCCTTCTGACAACATCAGTATATGAGAAGTTTCACCCCCTTACTTTTAAGAAGCACCTTGGTTGTACTTCTTACAAGACAAACTGGTTTGTCCTTTTGGTAGTTCATGATATATTCAGTGTTCTTCACCAAAACAACAATTCAAAGACATTGATTCTTCTGTCATCCTATTCATTTTCCAACTTTCACATGCCTAAGAAGCAATTGAAACACCATGGCTTAGACTAAGTACACTTTAGTCTTTAATCTTTGTACTCTGTAGAGGTCCTCGACAGCAGATTTCCTCAGTGTAACGTATCTTTTGATTTCTTGAGTGCTAAAACCATGGGTGTTGATTCTGGGTTCAAGTAAAATTAAATAATTGATAATTTCAATCTTTCTTCCTATATCAGATGTTGGCTATTGGTTTGATGGTGAGAATTTGGTTTTCTTGATATTGGGATATAATCCAGAGTGATATAATCCATATTGATCCAGGCGTAGTCCAGATTGGTCTTCTAGAGTATGTGCGTCAATTCTTCTTCACTTTCTGCAAGCAAGGTTGTGTTATCTGCATAACACAGGCTGTTGATTAGTCTTCCTTCAGTCCTGATGCCCCCATATCTGTGAATTTCTAGGTACAAGTAAAACTAGGAAACCTAATAGGGAGTCTTATGGCCTAGTGGAAAGAAGCTGCAATTTCAAAAGTAAGCAGTTCGAGGCCACCAGCTGCTCTGTGAGAAAAGGATGGGTAATCTCCTCCTGTGCAATTAATTATCTCTAAAAACCCACTGGAAGGTCAGCTGTGGGTCAGTTTGGTACTCAACAACAACAAAAATTAAGATTGAATAGGGAGGTTTGTGGTTTAGAGATAAGGAACTGCACTGTCAACCCAAAAGCATGTGGTTTGAATGCAATAGTTGCTCTTTGAGAGAAAAATTGACAGTCTCCTCCCATGTGATTTACTGTCTCTGCAAACTGGCTGAATGATTAGCTATGGAACATCATTAAGGTGGAATAACAGGAATCTTATCAAGATGCTTCAATTAATAATTGGTAACTGGAATGTAAAAGTTGAAAATGAAGAATAAGGATTGTTGTTGTTGTTAAGTGTCGTAGAGTCACTAGCGACTCATAGTGACCCTATGTACAACAGCTCTGAACCCTACTGTATTCCATGCCAATCTTATTGTCTCTGACACACCAACCTCCATTACCCCAGTCATTGAATTATTCCATCTCATTGAAGGTCTTCCTTTCTTGCACTGTCCCTCCACCCTCCCAAGCATAATGTCCCTCTCCAAGGACTGATCACTCCTTGCAAGCTTGTGAAAGTTTTTGCTCTCCAAGCTGGTAGAAAACCCTAAGTTGACAATTAAGATTGTTAAATAAAAGTCCAATTATTTTCTTAAAAGGACTAGATTAGATCCTCTAGAAACAAATGACCAAAGACCAGAAGAACCATGGGATGACATCAAGGACACAATACATCGAGAATACAGAAGAGAATTACAAAGACAAAGGAGAAGAAAAAAGACCAACATGGACTTAAAAAGAAACTTTAAAACGTGTCATAGAACACATAAAGACCAAAACAAAGAGAAGAAATGCTGAAGTTAGATTGTTAAGCTAAGTTTCAATGGGCAGCTTGAGAATGCAAAATATAATAAGGAAATAGAAAAAGGGCAGGAGTTAGAAAACCAAAAGGGAAAAACATGCGTGGCATTTTTCAAGCTGAATGAAAAGAAGAACAAATTTAAGCCCTGGGTTTCCTTACTGAAGGATTCTGTGGGCAAAATAATTGGTTGATGGCAGGAAGCATGCAATAAAGAGGGAAAGGATATACAATCACCAAAAAGAATTGGTCCATACAGGAACGTTTCAGGAAGTAGCATGTTACCAAGAACCAATGATAATGAAGAAAGAAGTCCAAGTTTTACTAAAGGCAATGGGGGGGGGTGGTTTAAAGAATTGATGAAATACCAGTTTACATGCTTCCAAAGATACATACAGCCTTGGACATACTGAGTAGCCTATGCTAAGAAACTTGGAAGACAGCTACCTTCTGATTTTTACAATAATGGTCTTATGCAGTATTTGTCCTTATGAGACTGAGTTAGTTCACTCAGCATAATGCTCTTCAGTGTCCCTCAAGTTATGTAGTATTTTTCAAAATTGTTACTCCTGAGTGCTGCATGGTATTCCATCATGTGAGTGTACCACAAAGAAGGATAACTAGCAAAACATATGGGTTCAACCAGAAAAGGAGCGGGAGAAGAGGGGTGAGGATGAGGAGGGAGGAAATCACAGAGTCACACAAATTTGTGGGTGGACTGAAGGGATAAAGGGAATGGGAAAGATCCAGTGGAGCCTGAAAAGATAGCGTAATAGTGGGCATAGTCAATAGTGATTAATTTTATAAAACAGAATGTATAGGAATGATTATATGAAACATACTGTCAATGAAGGAAAGGCTGGGGAAATCTTCACAAAAATAAATATATACAAATCTTACGGATTATTAAAAAATAACTGGAATAAAGCATCAATAGGAAACTGTCAGAAATATAACTAGATCTGCAAAGTGTTTGTCAAAAAACCATAAGCATTTATAAATAACTTACTTTTCTAACATGCAGACAACTGGGGCCATCATAAGAGTTTTATAAAATAAGTTTTTCAGGGGACCTGCGGTAAATATTCCTTCCCGATCCCAGTTATGCAAGGAAGGGACTGAACAGAAATTAAAACTGGATTCAGAAGAAGCCATGAAAGCAGTGATATCATTGCTAGTGTCAGATGTATATTGGTTAAAAGCAGAGAACATCAGAAAAATATTAGCTGGTATTTTATTGAAAAAAGGCATTTGGCTGGGTGTATTATAACAAACATGGCTAATATCAAGAAGAATGGAATTCTCAGAACACTTAATTACACTCATGCTAAAATCTATACATAGATGAAGATCAAGAAACAGTTGTCTGAACAGAATGAGGATGCAGCACATGGTTTAAAATCAGGAAAGCTGTGTGTTTGTTGTATCTTTTATCCATTATCTATTCTGTAAATAAGAATGTAGGATTGGAGGAGGATTGATAAACAACCTGCATTAGGCAGATTACGCAAGCTTGCTTGCAGAATGTGAAGAAGACTTGAAACACTATAGAAGATCAAAGACTGCAGTCTTCACTGTGGATTACATCTCCTCTAGAAGACCAAACTCCTCACCATTAGGCAACATCATGGATAGATGGAGAAAGGATTGAAATCGTCAATTATTTCATTTTAACTTGAATCCACAATCAAAACCCGTGATAGCCACAGTCAAGAAATGAAAAAATGTGTTACATTGGGAAAATCTGCTGTCCAGGACCTCTCCAGAGTACTAAAGAGTAATGATGTCAGTTTAAAAACAAAAATGTATCTGATCCAAGTCATAGTGTTTTTAATTGCTTCCTGTGTTATCTGAAAGTTGGATAATGAATAAGGATGGCAAAAGAATAAGTTATGCCTTTAAATTGTGGGGTTGGAGACAAACATGTTGAATATCTCATGGACAGACAAATAAACAAGTCTGTTTAGGATGAAATGCACCCAGAGTGTTCCTTAGAGGCAAAGTGAAGCTCATACTTTAGACATGTTGTCAGGGGGTGCCAATCCTTGTGAAAAGACATCATTCTGGAAAAGATGTGGGATCAGAGAAAGAGAAGATGCCTCAATGAGACAGATTGACACAGTGACTGAAACAATGAGCTTGAGCAGAGTGGAAATCATGAAGATGGCACAGGGTAAAGGAATGGTAAGACCTGTTGTTCATATGGTTGCTATGAGTTGTAGCTGATGTGGTAACAACAATGTTAAGATTGTTTTATCTCAAATCTTTATTTTTCTATTTACTATGCAAGGATTCTGGAGTTTCATTTCACATACTTTGGACATGTTTCAAGAAGGGACCAGTCCTTGGAGAGTGATGTCATGCTTGGGAAGATGGAGGGACAGCACAGGCGAGGAAAACCCTCGATGAGATGGATTGATTCGGTGGGTGGGTTAATGAGGGTAGGTGTGTCAGAGACTATAAGATTGGCACAAAATAGGGCAAAGTTTAGAGCTGTTGTACATAGAGTTGCTATGAGTCACAGGCGACTCGACAGCACATAACAACAACATGCAGAAACTGAATTTAGAGAAATTGAAAGGATCTCAGAACAACCTTCCAACTTTATGCTATACAGATAACAAGCATGTTGAAGGGCCAAAATGCTTGTTCACATAGCATATGTGAATTCCAGGGAGAATTTCAAAATTGCCTGTATATGTGGCTTTAGTAATCTTGAAAGATTGGAAGAATTCATATGCAAAACAGAAATAAATGACATGTGAATAACTTAAAACATATAAGCTGAGACTTTGCCTTTCCTAGAAGCAGAGAAAAGTTCCTCTGAGGAATTTGCCCCAGTGCTTTGTCTGTGTTTGGTATTACTATGTGCCTTTATTGTGTTAGAATTCTCTTATGCACATAGCAACATCGTGCATCTGGCCCATCTCATGTATGAACCAATCTTTTCAAATCTGTCTTTCAGTTTCTGGTGTGTACTCCAAGAGCTTTTACTTGCTTGAACCAGTGCCCACATTTGGGAGCTTGACAGACTCTGAGGAACCTTAGTATCGTTGGTGTTGTTAAGTGCCCTTCAGTCGTAGACAACTCATAGCGATCCTATGAACAAAAGGCCTGAACACTTGTATAACTGTCATCGTTTCTCCAAGTTCATAGGGTTTCCAGAGGCAAGCTATTTGAGAAGTGGATGCGCTTTCTGCTCCCAAGCTTGTTTTAATCAAGGAGCTCCACCAAACACTGTCCACCATGAGTAATCATCACATTTGACACATCAGTGTCATAGTGTTCAGTATCACAGCAACCATGAGTTACCTCTGTACAGCAATGGATAGACCAGTGCTATGCCACCTAGAAGAATGTTTGACCAAAACCAATTAAAACCAGGCCTGAGTGCCACAGATTAAAATCACCTCTGTTTGGCTTGGTAGCGTCACTTTCTGTCCACTTGGCCAACTAAGCTCTATGATGTTGTTGTTGTTGTTGTTGTTAAGTGCCATCAAGTTGTAAATAACTCATAGCTATCCTATGAATGAAAGACCTGATCATTTGTATAACTTTCATTGTATCTCCAAGTTCATAGGGCTTCCAGAAGAAAGGTACCAGGTCTCATAGTCATTCCCAGGAATCAGGAGGACGATGCACATAATGTACAAGCAGTAATTGATTCACTAGCCTTGGACTACCTCCAGATCAGCTTATCTCACATATCAAGTTGGTATATACTTAGCCATCTAAAAGTTATGCATTTTATGAGAATAATTTGTTAGAACCCTCAACATTTTTCAATTCAATGAGTAACTTACCAAATAGCAAGACTGAGTATTATTGGCTCATTTGTATAATCCAGGTGGTTAGACATTTGGAGTTATCCGGAAGGATCAGCATTGAAGTTTTGCTAGCACTGGGTATAGAATGTAAGTATGTTAACTGCTAACTGGAGTCAGTTTTTTTGGTTTTGTTTGGCTGTTTTAAGTACCATGCTGATTTATGGAAGCTAAAGATTGGAAACCTGTTTCACTCTTGTCACTCGAGATAACTGCATCAGAATCAACTCAGTGGCACTTAATAACGACAATAATTTGCTCTTGATGAACAAATTTCTCTTAAGAGAAAGTGTCTGTTTTTGAGCTTAGTTGTAGGTGAGACAATATGGTAAATCAGTTTAGGGACCATTTCTTTTAAGGAATAACCTCAGAATTTCTCTGCTCCTTTGCAAATTAGAATTGCTGTTATCACTTCAGTAGGGTAATTTCTGGAATTTCTAAGGTCAAAACATACCCGTAGTGTTTGGTGGAGCTCCACAATTAAAACAAGCTTGGAAACAGAAGTGGCATCCAATTAAAAAATAGCATGCCTGCGGGAACCCTATGAACTTGGAGAAAGGATGAAAGTTATACAAGTGTTCAGGTCTTTCATTCATAGGGTCGCTATGAGTCGACAGCACTTAACAACAACAACAACAACAACGAGAGAGCTCTGTTGGCTTAGGGGACAGAAAGTGATGCTACCAAGCCAAAAATGGGTAATTTTAGTCTGCAGCCCTCAGGCCTGGTTTTAATTGTTTTTGGTCAAACATTCTTCTAAGTTGTATAGCACTGGTCTGTCCATTTGCTGTACAGAAATAACTCGTGGTTGCTGTGATGCTAAACACTGTGACACTGATGTGTCAAATGCGATAATGGTCACCCATGGTGGACAGTGTTTGGTGGAGCTCCCCGATTAAAACAAGGTTGGAAGCAGGAGTGACATCCATTTCCGAAATAACTTGCCTCTGGAAGCCTTAGTATGGAGTCTAATTAGTCATAAATTCAAGTTAGTATCCTGGTAAAGGAAATTTAGTAACAGAAACAAATCCTTCTTTCAGTTTGAAAAGCTCTAACGCAAAGAAGACAAAGCTTGGATCTGAGCAGCAGTTTATCTGGCAGCAACTCCTGAGACTTTGTGAAGGTAGTTATGGTACCAGGACCTGGGTCCTCAACTCCTCAGGGGTCACAGCAGGTAATACACCATCAATATCCTGTTTCTGACACTAAAAACATCATATAATAAAAGACCCAACACTCTGTAAACTGAAAAGCAGTGAAGTTGATGGAAGAATAGAGCAATTTGACCTGGGCAATTTACAGAGGAAACCACTATACATATGCTCCAAAGTACTGGAAGAAGGAAAGAGCTTAAATACAGAAGTACCAGGAATTTTTCCAATTGAGACATACAGATCGTTTTCCCAATTGAGTGATATTTACAAAATATTGAGTGATCAGTCATGAGGTTCTCATTTGATCTCCAAAGTGTCAGTTGAAAAACTGTTTCAAAAGAACTTGCTTTTCTAATCTGCATACACATGGGACCAGCATAAGCATTTTCTAAATTAAGCTTTTCAGGGAGCCTGATGTAAATATTCTGTCCAAGAATCAGTTGTGCAAGGAAAGAACTGGATATGATAATACCTGGAACAATTTACTGCAGTTTAATGACGTGAGGTTTTACCCAAGTCTAGCTGTGAGTAAGCTACCTGGCCAGCCGACTGTCAGAGATCACATATCTTTACTTTTCAAAAAAAGATGTTCAACAGAAATTGTCAGACAATACTATTAGTATATGTAAGTAAAATCTTGCTATTTATCTGAAAGTTGGACAAGAAAAAGGATGACAGAAGAATTGAGGCCTTGTAGTTGTGTTCGATAAGAGCACCGACTGTCAAAAGGACAAACTAACATGTCTTGGAGAAAATACTGAACCAATGTGCTCCTTAGAGGCAAGGATGATGAAACTTCATCTCATACACTTGGGATCTGTTGTGAGGAGGGGCCAGTCCCTGAAAAAAAAGACATTATACTTGGAAAGGTGGAGGGTCAGAGAAAGAGAGGAAGATTCCTAAGAAGATGAATTGACACAGTGACTGTAACAAAGAACTCAAGTACAATAGAGCTGATAAGGATGGCACAGGGGAGGGGAGGGTTCAGATCTGTTGTTCATAAGGCCACTATGAGTGGTAGTTAACTCGACTGTACCTAATAAAACAATGGTTGTGGGTGAAAAGCAGAAATAAGAAAAGAGGGGAGAAATAGAGTAGTCTGGACCCTGGTCAGCCACTTTGCTGTCTCTGAAAACCCCCCCAGAGGGTCAGTTATGGATCAATTCCAACTCTATGGTACACAATAATAACAACTACACACATACCACACACGGACTTTTGTAAAACTTTACCTACCCTTAGCAATATATATAGCCAATTTATATAGATGTAGATATGCAGATATACGTGTAAATTTCTAGATAGGTACATGGCATAATCCATAGCAAGTCTTACTGCTAGCTTAAAAGCTGCACTACTCTGGATTGAATACATCAGCTTCTCTGCAGGAGAAAGATGGACATGATCCTCCTGTCAGGATTCATGGTCTTGGAAACCTGATGGAAGGAAGGTCACTGTGAGTCAGAACTGACTTGACAGCAGGGAGTTGAGTGAGCATGATTGGGTAAGTGTTGATCTTTGTCACTCAAATATGTCTGTGTGTATTCAGAGGAGGAGTCCTGGTGGCAAAGTGGCCAGCTGCTTAGCTGCACACCAAAGGGTTGCTTATTCAAACTCCCACTGGCCACTTTGTGCTTCTGTAAAGATTTACATCCTTGGAAACTCTATTAAGCAGTTTTGGTGGTCTAGTGCAAGCTGTGCTGCAATTCCAAAGGTACATAGTTCAAATCCACCAGCTGCTCTGTGGAAGAAGGCTGGGCAATTTTCTCCTGTGCAATTAACTGCCTCTGAAAACTGCTGAATGTCAGCTATGGGGCATTTCTGACTAGACAGCAAGTAACAACATTCTACCCTCTGGAATTGCTATGAGTGAGAATCAATTCTAAGTTAGTTTGGTTTGAACTTATTTATGCAGACCCATGTTGACTTATGAAAATGATCGCAAACATCCTAAATGAATGGTCGTTAAATGAATCCAATAGCATATTAAAACACATCATGAAATTCTCTTTGTGAATATGATGGGGTACAAAGAGCCAGGTTTAC